CTTTTTAATAGAATTAGGGACAGAGGATTTATCAAGATTATTCTACGAAAAATGTCATCAAAAAACCATTTAGTTATTTTACAAGCCAATGCATCAATTTCTAAGCTACTTGCTTGGTAAGCTAACAGGTATTCCTAGTTCCCCCCCTCAAGAGAGCTGGTTATACAGCTGATCTTTTAAACGGGTTAGCCACTAAATCAACAGGTTAGTTTGAACTCACGATCGCTACTCAACGTCTTAGTACATAAGCTGTCCTCTATTTACATATGGCTTCGTCTAGCGGTCATTGGGTTAACGTAAATCACAGAAAATAATGCTCTGGTCTATTTTCCAATGGTTAAACAATTTGTAAATCTGTATGTAAGGAGGTGTTACTAAAAAATTGGCTTTTTGTAAGTAGTAAGTTGAAAGCAGTTATCATGATGATGATAAAGAGGTTAGACATTATGTCACATAATGTCAGAATTAATGATTGAAGCGCCAAAATGACAGTGGGTTATTTTTGTGTGCGTGTGTAATGGGTTACCACGTTACCAGACTTAAGAAAATGACAGATGTCCTTCGTGTCAATGTTTTTTTTTATGGCATAAACCGGTAAACGAGCAGACGGATCACCTGATGGTAAGCAATCGACGTCGCCCAAGGACACCTGCAACACCAGAAGCGTTACAAGTATGTTACCGGCTTTTTGGGAGTTAGGAGTTTGAGGATCGTTGGGGATTCAGAAATTGGGGAGATTTGGTAAGGGGAGGGTAATTGGGCCTCCGGTAACCTCACTCACACGACGAAATACAACGCAAGCGTTGCTTCACGTCGGTTTTCTGTGAGGCCGTGGTATCACTCCGGTCGAGCCAGCCCATTCGTGCCGAAGCATGGCTCTCCTACACCTGTGTGTATGTTCTGCGTGTAAGTCTATAGTAACCAGTCGTTGGTTCAACAGACTATGCTCGCCTTTTTTAACGTCCTTGGCAATTAAGTTCTAGCTCAATTTTAATATATTTCTTAAATAATTTTATGGCTAAGTTTATTACGAAAAGTACCTATGTGTACTGAAAATATCTAGAGATATTAGGGCTCCCGTAAGATATACAACAACAAATTGCTAAACCATGCACACATTCCAATGATGCTAGGAAGAAGAAATTAGGCGGAAACTCCCGACAACGTACGAAGATAACCGAAGCGTGCAAGCGTAACGGCGGGCAATACGATGTGAATTTACAGTCATGTTTTCACATTTTCATAGCTAGTCCCAAGCGAGCAAGATACAGAATAGCGAGGAGACGAATCTTTACACACTTCACTTGCGTCTTCCACCTTCGTATGATATGAATGCAAAGTCCTGGCTTGAATACTTCATTTTTACATCGTATGTCAACGATGAGCTAGATGTCTACCTATTTTTTTAAATCTACTATTTTATTATAGTGTAATCGTAGTTCATCAGTGCGTAAACTGAATTCCAAGTTGGCACGGACAATTCAATATTAGGTATATCGGCCCAAGCTAGTCCAGTGCAAGATAAACGTCGCTACCATCAATAAAACGAATCCTTTTATTAACATTTCGTGCATTTTACACAAAATGCAGATAATTACCTTTATTCACGTGTGAATAATAACCCACATTATTTTCACGTGAGGTTATAAAAATTCAAAATCTTCATAAGACCAGAGAACAAAAAAATGCGTATAATTTCAGCGTATTCATTTGAATTATCGTTTATTATGCGGCGTGGGGAACGCCGCAGTGGATTATCTTGCAAATACAATATACTTACGGCCGTGGATATTCAAAATGGCCACCTTTTTTCGAGCCTTACTTCTGAATGCGAGGTATATCTAAATAATATGTTAAATGTTATGCGGATGCCATTATTTTTATTTTAATAGCGTTTATTTCTACGTTAATGTGATGTTTTATGAAGGTACAACAAATTTCTTTAATGTTTTCATTGTCTTTTCATACATATGTTAAGGTATTTTTTTATGGAATAGGAGGCAAACGAGCAGACGGATCACCTGATGGTAAGCGATCAGCGCCGTCTATGGACACCCACAACACTAGAGGAGTCACAGGTGCGTTGCCGGCCTTTAAAGAGGAGTACGTTCTTCTTACTATAAGGTCGCTTAAAATTGTCAAGTCACTTAAATCATGGTTGACTGTTAGAGAATGCCATCCGGCATTAAGTCCGCCATCGCATGTCATACAGAAGTGTAAATAAAAAAATACTGATGACTGCCTCGTTGGCCGAGTGGTCGCAAGTGCGACTGCCGGACAAGGGGTCTCGGGTTCGATTCCCGGGTCGGGCAAAGTATTACTGGGTTTTAAAAAAAAATCTCAGTAGTAGTACGGAGTCTGGAATTGTGCCCGGTATATGGCAATAGGCTCACCCCTTATTACATGGGACTCATAATATAAATAGTGAAAAGTGGGTGTTACATTGCAAAGTGGCATAATGTGCACCTCTGCCTACCCCTTCGGGGATAAAAGGCGTGATGTTATGTTATGTAAATAAAAAAATAAATAAATCTGTTTCTTAAGTAGGTAGTTTAATTCAGTCTGATCTCAGAGTAAATGAGTATGAAATAAAGTTATAGAAGGTACTAGTATATTGAGCAGAGCTTGGAGAGAAAAATTGGGGTACCGGGGTGATTTTTTGTCAGTCAACGATATGAAAGTTCCTTTCTATCTCCTTCGTGATAAAAAGGGACTTCGATATTTTATATTTTACAGAAAAAGGAAAAGAATATACTTTCTTGTGGGCATGCGTAAACAAAAAATTCAGGAATAATTTATTCGTCATTAGGCATGACCCACGAAACAAACAAACATAAAATAAAAATATTAGATGCAAAACTAAAAAAACAATCATTACATATAAGTAATAACACTAAAAAACAGCAGCGAAAAACAAAAAAAAAGGAAATAACAATATAAAAAATGAGTAACAATCACTTATGTAGGCAATGCTTTATGGTATCAGAAATGTGAATTCCATCGAAATATAAAAATAACGATGGAAAATCTCGTTCTCTTTATCGATTAAAAAATAAAATGCTGAACTTTTTTCCCTTAACTATTACAATGGTTATAGCGAAAATATCACGTAAATTCAAGTAAAATATAATCGAAATCCGATTTTTATTCCACCTCTTTTTTCTCTCGTTTTTCGAACCAACGGACAAAGTTTGGCGATTATATTCGAAATATACGAGAGTACAACGTTATACGCTTTTCACAGAAAAAAAAACTTCTCTTGGATTTCCACATTTACGAAGTTTTTGAACAATTGCAAGCTATGTGTTGAGTACTCGAAAGAGTATAAAAAATCTGAATGAATCCTTTAACGATTCTATTCGGAATAAATTATTTGATACAATGACATTGCTTTCTCTTTCCTAATGGGGAACCCATGTTTGGGGCTCTTTTCTGCGTAAAATACTGACGTAATCAATAAAGAGTAGGTAACGAGATTAGGTTGTGAAAAGTATGAAAAATTGGCTTCGTAAGGAATGAAAAAATGTTCTATAGTTTAAACTGCTTCTAGTCTAGTGATGATTTAGTAATAATTCTGGTTTGAATACACATCAATTATTGGCGTTCGAGTAAATAATCGTAGCAATTGGCATTACATAATGTCTACCTACCCCCATGTATGTATGCATCAATGATTGCATATCATTACTATTTCGATTTATAGATATAAATAATACTTCAAAGAATTGGGTAGTTTCCAGGGTATCAAAATTAAAAATCTAATAAGTCCATCGGATAAATAATGAAAAAATATTAGACCCGTATTTTTTTATTTTCTCGTATTAGGTTGCAATATTTAGATAAAATGGCACTAAGTTTAGGAGTAGCGGGTCGTTACGTTAAAACGTGCTATAAAATGTGGCACGCTGTGACGTCACACGATATTTCAAGTTAATATATCGTCGTAAGTATTTAATTTTGTGAGAAAAGAAAAATACGTGTCTTAAGTTTTAAATTAATGTACCAGACGGACAGTAAAATAAAATTTAGGAAACTACCCTATTGCAATTTCTTATTTGTATCAACATTTGACTACAAAATAAGTTAGGTTTCACTAAATCTATTTAATTTTAAAACATCATCAAACTATAGTTAATCTGTTTTATATTATAAAACTTTCTACAACTTTACTTACGCAGTGTCAGTTTAAGTTCTCTTAAAATAAATAGCATAGAGCACAATATTAATCAGAGTTGGAAACTAAAATGTGGTTCGAAACTATCGTTCAAAACTTTCCTCACTAATGTATAGTGATTAATGAAAAAATATTGCACAGTCATGCTTCCGCTAGCTATGGACTCGCATCCATTCATTTTAATCAGATTTGTAAAGAACTTTCGCAGTTTGTAGTTTGTGAAAAAATGATCCGTATAATGGACGGACTGACACGGTGGGGTTTTAGCGTTGTCTACATACAAGGTGTAGTTTTGAAACCGTGGCATTTCTCGGGGGCATACCACAGAAGTCATAAAGGTTTAATGTAAGAGAAAGTTTCGGGCCAATAGTTAAAATACGGCTATAATCAATCATTTAAGTTCGACAGTATTTCGGAATAAGCGACAGCAATGTTTCTTATTGGAGATTTATGGAATTAGGAATAATGTCAATTACGTGTTTGAGTTTGTGTGTGTTAAGCCGCATTATAAAGCTAGTTACAAGACGGCGGCGTGTAGTTCGCACTTAAGGATTTGCGTAATTTACAGAAAAATGAAAAATATTTAACTACAATTTTTTTTAATTGATTCGGACTCAGAATCGATAGCCAAGTTACGTCCTAGAAAATGACGCGGCTTTAAAATAACACCTTGTATAATAAAACTGTAACGGTCTTATTAATAAAAATCTCCTATTCCAAACTTATTCACAGGTTAGTCTTGGACTAGCTAATCCCGGACTAACAAAGTATTAACTTCAGAATTGAATTCCTATTAATAAACATGGAATAACCTCGGAATAACAATACTATCCTTACACTAGGTTTAATCCGTTTATAATGGTAACCCAGAAAATTTAAAAGTAAAAAAACTGAGAAGTAGGTGTAAAATACCATGAAACCTATGAAATCACTGCTTTATTGACAGATGTATGTTAATTTGACATTCTAACAATTTCACTGCCGCTGTCGGTTTTATTCAAGAACAATCATCTAAATAAATTTACAAAAAATGAGCCAAAAACGAAGCCGTTCTATCAACTGGAACGAAGAAGAAAAGGTAAATATGCCGTAAATATTATTTATTGCGTGTTATATAATTAGCTATTGCGTGCCTTCACAAAAAAAAACTCTTTATATTGTTTTTATGGTTTCAGCAATTACTTCGTTCTGTCCTTAAACAATATTCTCAAATTATTGAGAATAAATCACTAAGCACAAATACCAACACAATCAAGACGAAAGCGTGGGAGGAAATACATACAAAGTAAGATTTTTTCATTTTTTTTTTATTTGTTCTGATCACATTTGTTTAGAGATAAATTAAGGTCAAGCATGCAACTGAATATGTGGGCAGTGTACCTGCAGTCTTATGCTAACCCATAGTAGCTGAACCACATAATGCTGTACTTACAGTTATCTGGATATACATATGTTTTTATCATACTTACTTTCATTTTATGTATTTTTTTAGGTTTAATGAGTTGAATAGCAGACCTCGTGCATTAAGTCAGCTGAAACATCAGTGGAAAACTATGAAAATAAATGCTCGAAAAACATATAGCATTTTTAAAAAAGAAGCTAATAAAACCGGTAAGTAAACATCAAAATATATTATTATTTAACACGTTGACTGTGCAGCTATGATCAGCGAGGCTATCCCCATAAGTGTAAATGCAAATTATTGATTACTATTGAGTTATAAAACTGATATTATAATACCATTATTTTTAATTTTTATATACCCCCTTCGTATAAATAATATTTTTATTTATTGACTCACCCGTGGGTCATACACGTATGATCTCGTAAATGTAAGCCCCATCCGTGTTGCATGCACGTATAATCTCGTAAAGGCATGCCCCACCGATGGGTCATGCACGTACAATGAGCAACTCAATATGCCCCTCCCGTGGGTCATATTGAGTTGCTCATTGTATTGTCATGGGTATTTTCAACTTCTTTGCATGTCTTTTATTCCTGTCCTTAGTATCCACACATTTCATTCATGTTACGCTAGGAGTGTGTGTATTTATTTATTGATTCATTAATTTAGGTGGCGGAGCAAGACCAACATCTCCTAGCGATGCAATAATTGAGGTGAAAGATTTATTGAATCCTGCGGAGCTGTTGCGAGATCATAATGTGTATGATTCGGATGGTATTATAATTGCTGAATTTGATAACCCATCTACAAGTAAGACATTCGCTATCGAGGTTCAGGTTAGTTTGTGCTTTGTTACCGTAATCAGAACAATAAGAATTATTTTTAAATGAACATTTAACTCTTTCTTTTATTTACATATTTTATCTTTTTAATTGAATTTATTTTTATTCTAGGATTCACCTTTATTGGAAAATATACAGAAAACAAATACAGCTAAAATAGACAATGAAAATATAGTTGTAAGTTTGTAGTGTTGTATTTAATTATTTATTTTTCTTTTATACTATATTTCCTCAGTACAAACCAAAATATTGAATGTAAAAATACCTTAACCTGCAAGTACGTAAATATATTATGTGGTAATATCCCATGAAACTGATCCGTTTACAATATATTCCAGATTTCTGATGATGACATACCCGTAGCCACTACAATGAAAAAAAATGTACCAAAGAAGGTTTATTTATTTATTTACTTAATTATTATTTTATTCAACTCTTCAAAATTTAGTTTTTAAAGAGCTTTTTTATTACAGTTGCCCAAGCGACGGTTACTAGCCAGCAATAACATAAAACATGGAAATAAGACGAGAAAAGTAAATATGAATCGAATATCTATTTTATGTTGCTTCATCATCATCATCATCATCATCATATCAGCTATAAGAAGTTTACTGCTGAACATAGGCCTTTAATTTATATAAGTTATGAACCAAAATTAATTGTTATACTTTTTGTTGTGTATAGGACCATGGAGACTACGTAGATAATATAATAGAACATAGCAAAATGTTAAAGGAGGATGAGCACAAAAGGCGTATGGAAATGGCCGAAGAAGAACATGCCATTAAGATGGAGATATATCGCCAACAACTGAAAAATGTCTCAATGGAGGCAGAAATTTTAAAAATAAAAATAAGTTGTGAACATTTTTAAATAAATTTATATTAAAAACATGTGAATTCAACCTTTTTATTTACATACTAGAATAAGCTTCCTTCTATTTGGCCTAAACTTGATAAAAGTAAATTAGCTAAAATAAGTGCACATTAAAAATTTTCAGTAATAAAAGCAGCCCGCGCAGAATTTCCTCTAAGGGAGCTGTTTAAAGATATCACTGGCACATTATCATCAATAATCTCAGCATGTTCAATGAAGTCTTCTCTGTGCATGGCTATATTATGCAATATTGCCAATGCAACAATATACAATTTACTATTATCTAACTTGGTTGTGAACCCTCTAAGAAGACACCGGAATCGCTGCTTCCATACTCCAAAACACCTTTCAACTGTATTACGAGTATGTATATGAGCTCGATTATACATTTCTTCTTTGTTTGTAGCTGGATGCAATACAGGTGTAAAAAGGTACGGAGTACAGGCATAACCTGAATCTCCCAGTAGTCTTCCTTTGAATTCTCCGTCTTCAAATCTTTGTTTTATTCGAGATTCATTAAATATTCTGGAGTCGTGTGTGCTTCCTCGCCAGTGTGCAACGATATCCATTATCTCTAATTTTGCATTTGAGACAATCTGTAAAAATGTACACAAATTTTGATATTCTAAAATTGTGTTTATTTTTTCTCTAATATGAAAGAAGAACAGAGAAAGAAAAAACTTACTTGCACATTTATTGAGCTATATCCTTTTCGGTTAATATAATATTGTCCCACATCTCCACCGACTTTTGGGATTCGAATGTGTGTGCAATCAATAGCGCCGATAACTTGTCGGAAACCACACAATGAATAGAACTCTGCGATCACTTTATTTTGTTCATTATCAGTTCGTGGCATTTTAATCCACTGAGCCCTATGTGAAACTATTGCTAATGCAACTTGTTTGCAAACGAGAGATACCGTGGGTTGGCTCATCCCACTAAGGTCTCCGGCATCATCTTGAATCTATTGGGATGAAAAATACAAAGTTATAATTAAAAAGTACTAAATTTTTGAAGTAATATGATGGCACTTATATTGATATTTACCTCTCCACGGGCCCATGTTCTGATTGCAGTCAAAACTTTCAAATAGGGTGGTATAAAGCCACCTCTTGCGTCCCCAGCTAGACTATTTTTTACCATATCTATAATAAAAGATGCAGTCGCCCGACTAAATCGGTACTTTGATTTAAACTCGTGGTCTTGAAGTTCCTCCATTGGATTTCCGCGTGTTTTATAAATTTTTACACTCCGAAAATCGGCTTCGTTTAATAACGAAGCCGATTTTCGACCTCATTCAATTCATCAATTACTGTCAGATCTTGAATAAAATAATCTCTATCCATTTTTATCACGATATTATAACTTTTACAATGATATTATAACAAAATGTTACTTAGAATATCAGACGTTGCGTTCTTACGTGTCGTGTCAAATAAAATCCATAGTAATATTGTAAATATGTGTGTCTGTTTATTTGTCCATCTGCCACGACAAAATAAACTGACGAAATGAAGTGGAGATAAGTCGTTGAAAGGAATAGAAAGTAACCTGGCCTACATTTTGTCTCTTTCTAACCTCCTACTTCCCGAAAATGGTGGATTTATATAGAACATTTCATGATTTTCAAGGAAGAAAGATAAAAATTGGTATGTTTACAATTGTGGCATAATTTCTTTGCAAATCTGCCCCCAACTCCATAAAAGACCGCGAGCGAAGCCATAGACCAAAGCTATAGTAACTCATAATCTGCACTAATATTATAAATAACAAAACATCTTTTCTTTATTTGTTCGTTTGAATGGATAGCCTCCGAAACTACGTACGATAGTTCTAACCCGGAAATCCCAAGGGAAGGACCTATGCGTTAATATTCCGGGACCTACCTTCTATCGCTTAAACCACTGAACCTATTTGATTGAAATTCGGTACAACTGTGGTTTGCAACCCAGGAAAGGATATTGGATAATTATTATCACTGATACCTCACGAGACTGGACCAAACCCACGTGAGAATGCTTTTAAATCACGAAAATTAATTCAATTTGTTTATTATTACCTTTTTTTTAATGTGTAAATATTTTAGTTCATAGTTATTTATATTTTAAGTTGTATATATTTTCATTTAGTTATAGTTAATATTAATTGTATATATAATAAGTATGTAAACACAAACATTTAACCAATACCTATAATAAACCTGTATGTAAGACTCTTGCAATCATGTTGTATTGAAATAACATTATTATCAAATTCACTATTCAATTTACATTAAATTTAACTTAGGGTCAGAATCGATTCTGATGAGATCTGTTAAATCGCATTAGAATTAAATGGAAAAGACTTATTCGAAAACCCACATTCTGCCAGAAGGCATTATAATACGTGGACGAAGTCGTGGGGTGTAGCTAGTCTCGTACCCGCGAGGAAGTAGGTTATAATAAAATAGGTTTTATCTGATAATGCCATACACCACTCGATACTGGTCATCAAAACCATATTGGAAACTCGATGGAAACTCGGTTGTCAATAAAGAAGAAAAAAATATCTATCAATAAAATGTCAAAATGACACTAATCCAAGCTTACACCGTCGCTAAACCATGTGGCACCATGGACTAACTTTTATTCTCAGACTAACGTTGGATTAGCTTAGTCCGACGTTACTCCTTATTTATTAATACCGAATTTGGCTATTCTGAGCCTAAACCATGGAGTAAAGTTATTCTTACTCTATTCTATGTTTATTAATAAGAGGGTAGAAGTGTAAATTCTGTACATTGAAAATGCTGCTCGTTGGCCGAGTGGTCGTAAGTGCGACTGCCGGGCTAGGGGTCTCGGGTTCGATTCCCGGGTCGGGCAAAGTATTACTGGGTTTTTTCAAATATTCTCAGTAGTAGCACGGAGTCTGGAATTGTGCCCGGTATATGGCAATAGGCTCACCCCCTATTACATGGGACTCATAACATAAATAGTGAAAAGTGGGTGTTACATTGTACAGTGGTTTAATGTGCACCTCTGCCTACCCCTTAGGGGATAAAAGGCGTGATGTTATGTTATGTTATGAAAATTTAAAAAAAAAAACAAAAATAGTAAGGGCACTTACTAGATAGACACCTTACCCAAAATTTTTTTGTCTGTCTATCTGTCTGTATGTTCACGCATCAAGCAAAAACTATCGGTCCAATTGTGATGAAACATGGTATGATTATACTTTAATATCATGGGCACAACCCTGGGTATATTTTATCCCGAAAAAGTACATACACGAAAAAACAAACTTAATTGTGCGGCTCAATCCCTAGACACAGTTACTATACCATACGCAAATATAAGTTTGTCGAATGGGTTGCCTGCAGTTGACTTTACGCTGTAACCTATATTATAAATATAAAAATACGTGAGTTTGTGTGTATGTTTGTTACTCAATCACAGCAAAACGGCTGAAGGGGCTGGGATGAAATTTGAAACCGAGATAGATTGTTGTCTGGAGTAACATAGGCTACTTTTTACCCTTGGGACCGCTGGGGAAGCCGCTGGTAGAAGCTATAGTTAATCCGATTAGGTTGAAAGCGACTAAGCTGTCTGCTTTATTGAGGTTGTAGTTGGTACTGTGTTGAAGTCGCCCAGTCAGTCAGTTTAAAATCAAAAATTATACTCTGCCTCACTCATGGAACCACTGAACAATTCCCTTATATGTAACTGAGTAGCAATAAAACTACATCTCAACATTTTATGAATTAAGTTGATGACGAAAGTATTAAAGAATAAAGCTCTTAGTTGCAGCCCTGGCTGAATGCCAAGCTTGCTTGCCGAACGATTATTTTCCATTTTGACTTATTATACAGCTTTGAAAATGTTTTAATATCTTACGGTGGAGTAATGGAGCGGATTGGCAGTGTTACGTGACCAACGTGTTTTTGTTCGATTCTTTGTGAGTAATTTTGTGTTATTTTTTGGGCGTTTGAAATTGTTACTTTATCTGATTTGGCTAAATTGGTTTCATATTCTTTAGGCAAGTTATAATTATTACTTTCTATTTCATCAACATGTTTTTTGTTAACAATCAACAGTGAACCAATCGTGGCTTACTACTTATAATTTGAAATCAACAGCATTATCTTTATGAAAGAATACACTGCTTCGACTGCACGGTTGGTGAAGACGCTGCTTAACTTTACTGGCTGCCGTGCAACGTGTCATGCTTTCGAGTCCCGCACCGAAAAACTTTTTATGTAATCCACAAACTGTTGTTCCACATCTAGGTGTCATGTGTTTATATAATTGCATGTTTGTAAACGCACCCACGAAACAGGAGAATATCCTAGAAAATACTATTGAGAGGCATGGGTTTTTCAATAATAAAAAAAACATAAATATCATTGAAAACTAAATACACTGAATGATGCGTACATATTCTAATAATTTGTTTATAGTCATTACTTTACTATATATTATCACTCACAAGGTGATAACTCAAATCTTTTTATTCCATCTAATCATTTGCATACACTATATCTACATCAAAATAAGCCTCACTATAAACAGCCTCAGTTAGTAACCAAATAACCAAAACCACGTATTACCAGCAAACTTAGAGTATCAAACTTAGACTAATAATATAATCAATTTAAGGTCGCAAGGCAAAGATATTGATCTTAATACAGACGCCAGCAAGCAAACCTACATCAATCTGGCAATTTATTTTATTGCATTTTCAACCTTATATCAATAAAGTTAAAGTTAAAAAACGAATAGATAAAGGGGTAGGTTAATATGCTGGCGTTTGTACAAAGTTCTGAATAAAGTGGAACTTTGTAAGACCCTGTTTTCGAAGCGAATGTGTGAACTTTCCTTCTTATTAACCACTCCTCGCGATAGTTCTAAACCCAATTAATGTTTACACCGGTAAGCCTTTTCAGTTCTTTAATCTTAACTTGTGGTATTAAGGTGCAAGTTGGAGTGAGAAAGTTTGGAAATAATATTTGATTTCTTGGAAAAGTTTTTGATATAAAACCTTTATGTGCCGGTTTCTATGGGATAGAGCAAGGACGTTGAAAAAAGGTGGACATAGTCTCTTGACATCGACTGTGGAACCTGGCTACTATAGAGTTACACGCAGAACATACACACACTGACACGAAGGTCATGTCTTATTTTCATAAGTCTGGTAACGGGTTATCAACCCATTAACACACGCACACATAAATAAACAATTTTATTTTCTAATTAAAAAAAAGTTGCCCCGTACTAGGATTCTCCTGTGTCGTGGGTGCGTTTACAAACATACAAGTTCACATACTCATCACTTAAAGACCCGAAAAAACAATTTGTGGATCACACAAAGTGTTGTTCCGTGCGGGAATCGAATCCGCGACACGTTGCACGGCAGCCGGTTGCCCAGTCAACGCATCAACCGTGCAGTCACCAAACCATTGACATTGTGGTGGTGCCAAAATCATTTCCAAGAGACATTATGTCCGCCTTTCTTTTAACATGCTGGGGATAGAGTGCAAATAAACATACGCATGAACTGATAATCCTTCTGTTTTATAAATACTTTGCCAGCCTTTTAGTGGGAAAGGGTTATTGTTAGGTGGATTTCAATATTATCTTATTTGTTTGGATTATCTTCACTTGGTTTCAAAGTAAAGTAAATGAAAAAGAAGTTTAATTTCTATCACTATATGACTAGTAGAAAGTTTCTGTACAATTTATTACTTTTACAACACGATTCGAAAACTTGTCTTTCAACTCGTTTGTGTAAAAACAAGCATACTACCTAATAATATTACGTAACTAACCTAACTGAATATCCAAAAATAGTCCACGTTTCTCTTTTCTCCTTCGCATCAACCCTCAGATTGAAGGTTGAGACATTCGTTTTATTGCCTCCCAGTGCCAACTACACGTAGTTCGCCTCAAACTAGTTTTCTTCCGCCCTTGACCTAATTTGTACCTTCAGATGTTGTTTTGTTCATCTCAGTACCACGTATGGCCAGGTCGGAGTAATTACTTGATGTTCAACCCAGTTTTTCATCTCTACTTGCCCTTGTAGTCTGTAATGAGTAAAGTTATTAAAGTACGTGTTCTAGGCTAGATGTAATGTTCGTAGTTTCTTTTGAGTGATTGTTAGTGGACGTAACAGTTGTGGGGATTATTTTATTTTATTCTTATTTCAGTTCTTGAAACAAACATTGCGATCAAACCAATTACATTGTGGACATCTATGTTA